TTGTTGGAAATGGTTCAAATACACAGAAATGTTGAAAAACCAAATAATTTGTGGGACCTGAAGGATTTTTCTGAAGAACAGTGGGCAGTTTAACTGTTCAGGGCTGCGTTTCCCAAAAGCATTGTAAGCCTAAGTTGATCGTAGCGCCACTGGTGGCAATGGGTCTACGATGTGCTTAGGCTTACGATGCTTCTGGGAAATGCAGCCCAAGACAAACCAGGGACTCATGAACAACTATCACAAAAAAAAAACAAAAAAAAACAGCTGTGGATCATTCAGGTAACAACGCGGTATTAAGAATCAAGTGTATGTAAACTTTTGAACGGGGTCATTTTTTATAAATTCAACTATTATGTTCTCTTGTGGACTATATGTAACCGTCTTTTATGTTAAACATCTTATTCAGGTCAGTACTAAATAAAAAATAACATGCATTTTGTATGATTTTGGTAAAATAATTAACATTTTGCAGATACTTCAAAGTGTATGTAAAACGTTAACCACAACTGTATAACTTCTTCCAATACCTCCCAGTGAATGGTCATTTTTGCAGCATAATTTCAATGAGTGCATTTTTGAACTGCGTACAGTTTATCAACCTCTTTTATCCACTTATTTTATCTTCTATAGCTTCTGAAGGGCAGTACTAAATAAAATCAAAAAATATGATATTTAGGCAAAATAAGAAAAATTTACACATCTTCATTCTGTTCAAAAGTTTACACCCCAATCCCCCTCCCCCTCGGCTCTTAATGCATTGTTTTTGTCCTTCTGGAGCATCAGTGAGTGTTTGAACCTTCTGTAATAGTAGCATATTAGTCCCTCAGTTGTCCTCAGTGTGCAAAGATGGATCTCAAAATCATACAGTCATTGTTGGAAATGGTTCAAATACACAGAAATGTTGAAAAACCAAATAATTTGTGGGACCTGAAGGATTTTTCTGAAGAACAGTGGGCAGTTTAACTGTTCAGGGCTGCGTTTCCCAAAAGCATTGTAAGCCTAAGTTGATCGTAGCGCCACTGGTGGCAATGGGTCTACGATGTGCTTAGGCTTACGATGCTTCTGGGAAATGCAGCCCAAGACAAACCAGGGACTCATGAACAACTATCACAAAAAAAAAACAAAAAAAAACAGCTGTGGATCATTCAGGTAACAACGCGGTATTAAGAATCAAGTGTATGTAAACTTTTGAACGGGGTCATTTTTTATAAATTCAACTATTATGTTCTCTTGTGGACTATATGTAACCGTCTTTTATGTTAAACATCTTATTCAGGTCAGTACTAAATAAAAAATAACATGCATTTTGTATGATTTTGGTAAAATAATTAACATTTTGCAGATTCTGCGATGCGTATGTAAACTTTTGACCTCAACTGTATATACCACTTTAAGTGAGGGGGGCCAGAGTTGCAAGTCTGGTCTTAGGTTGGTGAGAGCGATCTCAAGCTAAAAGATTCGCTTTTGTCCGATGTCTACCAGCATTTTCCAGTCGTGGGCTAGGCATACAGTAGTTGTCCTGATTCTGACTTGGTGAAAGGATTTTTGGGTGTTACCTGCTCTTCTCTGACAAACTTTTTCCTTCGCGAGATTGCCTGCTCTATGTGGTTGGGAGTTGGTCGCGCTCCGCTTGCTCTCCAAAGCTGATGCCAGAACCTGATTGTGTCTCCAGGTGCATCTCCCTTGCGTGAGCCTGTCATGATGTGTTTGAGAGTAGTTAGAGTTGGGCAGAAGGCACAGGTTGGATCCTCGCCGTACCACTGTTGGCGATTCATTGGTGATGGAAGCACGTCATACGTTGCTCTGATGATAAAGCTGATCTTGTTTGCCTTCATTTCCCATAGCTCCTTCCATCTGATCTTTCTCCTCTCCACACCTTCCCACCTCATCCATTGCCCCTGCTTAACAAGAGAGAAGGCTTTTGCTCTTCTCAGCCTCCTCCTGTCAACGCACCTCATTGAGCACCAGTGTTCTCCATCTTCTCCACAGTTGTTAATGGGACATCATACACTGTGAGTGGCCACATTGTGCGGGGGAGGAGTCCAAACTGTAGGCACCAGAGCTTCAGTTTCTCTGGCGGTAGCATCTTGTCGATGTTATTCAGGCTGTTAACAATCTCTTGCCTTAATTGTTGCATAATGATAATCTGTAATAATGATCTCTGGAATCACACACGTACACAAACAAATACATCATGTAAATATAAACTGCAACTAATGAAAGGAGATTTTATTTAATACTCCTCTCAAAAATGGATCTAATGCGGCCCCTGCTTTATTATGTCATAAACCAGTTAGAAAGTATAATGCCATGTATGTCTTCAAATATAATGTGTCTCTTTAAAGACATATTATACAATATGTTGTATTGTCTCCTCATTTTAATTGGATAGCAATATTCAGTCATGTCTGATCAATCAGTCAATTCAGTATCATTCACGAGAATATATAAAGATTTACTATTTAATGATCTATGTTGGAGACGACAGGCTTCTTTTCAAACTAATTAAACTCGAGACAATACTAATAGGCCTATGTGTACCTTTTTAAAGAAATTTTCATTCTTTGGGTGAATTATTGCTTTAACATTAATTAATCATTAATGCGATACAAAGAGCAGCATGATAAAATATACAGCAATACAATGTAAACCTGGGCTAGTCCTTTACATGTAAATTGGCAAAGGGCTAAATCAACACAAACTGTGTGTGTGTGTGTGTGTGTGTGTGTGTTATAGTGCAGTGGTTATGCTATTCATTTGGACACATGACTGGGTGGTATTATAGCACTTTATTGCACGTATGGCTCATATGGCAGTATGACATAATTAAATGCTTGTCTTAGCTTTTTATTTTTATTTTAAATAGAATGAGTACACATTCACAAGTTCTTCCCAGAATAGTTCAAACATGAGTCTGCTTGAGTCACAGATCAGCAGTTTTCTCCACATACTTGACCTCAGGTGCTGGAACATCTGGGTGTTCCCGAGAGTTTGCGAAATACTTCATCAACAAGAATGCTACGGGAAGCTGCTTACTGCTGTCACTAAGCAACGATACGAATATCCAAAATCCTTATCCTTGTGAAGACATGTTTTTGGTCCCCATGAGGAAACAAGATTATAAATCATACAAAATAAAGTTTTTTTTTGAAAAACTAAAAATGCAGAAAGTTTCCTGTGAGGGGCACGTTTAGGTTTAGGGCGATAGAAAATAGTTTGTACAGTATAAAAACCATTACGCCGATGGAATGTCCCCATAAAACATGGAAACCCAACGTGTGTGTGTGTGTGTGTGTGTGTTTCAATGTCAAATCAGCCACATTTCAGAAAAGTCCCAAATTTCCTAAATAAAACTAAAATTCTGCGAAGTTGCTTTGAAATATGTTGTGCCAAAGCACAAGTTCTGATTTTGCAGAAAACACATAAATCATGATCAAAGACAAAACATGAAATGCTATTGATCAATATTTAATCAATGATTATTTCGTATTTTATCCTATGATTTGCAACACTACTACAGGTAAAACAATATGTCTAATTTGAAGGGTGGCAGCGTTTTGTTTTAATATTAGACCCATATACCCTGTTGACTGTAGTTGTATTACATGCCAGTAGCCTCAATGTATTACTCCAGAAGTATTCAAACTAATTGTTAATTGTTTTTATTAGAGCGTGTACATGCATTCAAGGCTATAATGGGGTATTTCTTTAAGTATGGGCCTGAAATCAATCAATCAATGTGGATCACTTCTATCCCAGAAATGTCTGAAGACTAAATAATGTTGAAACAGAGTTTTCCTCAAACAGATGAGATTACAATCAATTTGAGGCACGTTAATAGGCATCTGGAGTTCTATATCCCACAGCGCAAAGCATGTTTGTGAAATGCAAATGCAAAACTATCAGTTATTTTTCAGAGATAACCAGACACTTGTTGCATTGTGTGGTGTATCAAATAATATTTTTATGGTCATAATACTAGTATTAGGCTAGTTTCCCATTCTGAACAGCACAAGTATAATATATGTAATGTCTAACAATAATTTAAACAAACTTGACAGATTTTTGGAGGGTTTAATTGAAATGCATCCAAAAGAACAGATTTGGTAAAAAGAATCACGCATCTCCACTAGATGGTGCTACATTCATGTTTGGTGTAAAGTTGTTTTACCTTGTGTTCTATAAATTCTTGATTTGCGCAAATCTTTGTGCACAGTTTAATACATTCACAAGTTGTAAAATGGTGCTATTGGAATGGAAATCAAAAGCAAAAATCAAAACATTTTTACGGCTACATTTATTTATATAAAAATACAAAAAAAAAAAAAAAAAGGTTTCCATAGGAAAGCAATTCAGAAGCAATCCCATCTCTTTCATATCCATTTCAAATGCATCAGTGGCACACATTTCAGGTCAATAATACAGATTTCAGGTCAAAAATAATATTAACTTACTAATCAAGTATAAAATGGAAATGGTCACGTAGGAAGAAATCTGTACGTGTCTGTGTGAAGAGGAAGATCTAATTTTCAAAGAATGTTGGGAGAACATTTCATGAAATGGCTACTTTTCAATCCCTTAACACTCCTCAATAGAAAGTAGCATGAGCTTCCATTTGAATCTATAAAAGGGGGAGTCGGTTCAGGAATAAACTTTCCTCCAACACACAGAAAACTACACATACGATTAAAACCTCCCTCATATCCTCCAGTCAAGTATCTGGCCTCATGATTTACAAGTATATACGTATACATAAAAAATTACTTAGAAATAAACAGCCACAGGACTGTGAGCCTTTCAGGTTTGAGCATTTGCAACATACAAACAAAGTGAAAAACAGCTGCATTTAGAATAGAAATTTAGCTATTGTTATTCAACAGCACATATTTGGATATGGTGGACCTCAAGACAGGGTTTGGGTGTAAATCACTGGAGAACTATGATAAACCGCTGTCTGAATGAGAACTGGCTCTCGCTCTGGCAATCTGCATTGAAGAGCATCACAGCACTTGAGTAGGGCACGGCTTGGCTGGCACATCCAATGTGCTCTCGCGTCCGCAGTGGGATGGCACGCTTCCAGCGCACTGCTCCTCAGCAGCAAGCGGAACCCCCTGAGCATGGATCTGCTGCATACGTTGCCTGCAATGAAAGTGTCGATGAATTCAGTCAGTCAAAACCCTTTTCCATTAGTCATTCTTTCAGTACAAGATTTGTATCTTGTAAACACCATCGTTCGCGTAGTACATCAGGGTTCTGTCATTGGATGGTGTTATTTCTAAATAAAACATTATTTCTTAACATTTTTAAATGTAACATAATATTAAGAAAAAGCATCATTTGCTGAAGTTATACATCGACAAATTCAATGTTTATATATACATATACATATACATATACATATACATATACATATACATATATACACAAAACTTTAAAAACAAAAAAACAAAACAAAAAAAGGTTTCCATAGGAAAGCAATTCAGAAGCAATCCCATCTCTTTCATATCCATTTCAAATGCATCAGTGGCACACATTTCAGGTCAATAATACAGATTTCAGGTCAAAAATAATATTAACTTACTAATCAAGTATAAAATGGAAATGGTCACGGAGGAAGAAATCTGTACGTGTCTGTGTGAAGAGGAAGATCTAATTTTCAAAGAATGTTGGGAGAACATTTCATGAAATGGCTACTTTTCAATCCCTTAACACTCCTCAATAGAAAGTAGCATGAGCTTTTTTTTTTTTGCATTTTCGGTCTTTAATTTTTAATCTATCAGCAGTTTATTAGTAATATAGTTGTGTTTGTCATTTTTATTAGTTTTGTTGATCCTGCCTGTTTAGCTTTGTTTATTATAGCTTCATTTTATTTCAGTTTGAATACATCAAGATACACTCCATTTTTTCTGATTTTAGTTAACTATAAAAACTCTGAATCAATTAAAAAGTTATACTGAATTAAGGGTGTCAATCCAGTTCCTTCGGAGTTTGACATCAGTAAGCCTTTGTCTTATTTTAGTATGGTGTTCGGTCTACTTTGACAATAACTCAAACATTAAAAAGAACTGTTAACGATGCTGAAAGTAATGAAAATGGGTTCCCACATCCTACTTACCAGGCTGTGCGGGACATGATGTAATGAATATCGGGTTTCTGGAAGCCATTGAAGGTGGAAGATGCGGCTACAGTGTAGGCACCCATGTTCTCAAACAGCAGCCAGTCACCCACCTGCATGTCAGGCAGGCTGCACTGCTCCACAATGCGGTCCAGCCCATCACAGGTCGGGCCCCAAATGCTGCATGGGTACATGCGCTCATCAGGCTTGGGTTTCTGTAAGAGATTATTGGTTACATGTTAGTCTCAGGGAAGAAACTCCATCTAACAAACAGGAATCTGATGGACTCATTTCCGTACCTTGTGCAGAGTTGGCAAGACATGCGCATGGTCATACAGAATGCAGTTGAAGGAACCATAAACCCCATCGTTCACGTAGTACATCAGGGTTCGGTCATTGGCCCCATCCTCTTCTTCTGAAAAAATTAAGAAATTCAGTTAAATCAAATCTTTTTTTTTTTTTATGTAATGCTTTACACGCTACAGATTGCTTCAAAGCAGAACCTCAGTTATAAACGGGACAATAACAGGATTATTCATTGCAGTGAAATTGATAATATTACTGAATATTAGTGTGTAGTTACTGAATATAGTCCTTTAATTGAAAGTCTGAGAATAATCATTTTAAGAGCACATTAGAAACAAACATGGTTTTGAATGTTTGCTTTTACCGTCTGAGGCTGATTGCTCCTTCATGATGACCTTTTTGGCAATGATGTTGACAGCCAGCGTGTACGCAGACGCTACATAATAGCGGCCAGGTTCAGCAATGATCCTCACGCCGCAGTCAACAGGGAAATATTTATCCAGTGCAGGGTTAATCACAGCAGCGATCTGCCAACCAAAAAAAACCCCACAAGTTAAGTTTGGTATAACCTAAACATCTTTGGTGACTTGAAGTTAAGATGGTGATCAAGAATAAATACCTCTTCGAATTTCAGTTTGGTGTCATCGGAGCCTGGAAAGCCTCCTCCAATATCAAGCAGGGTCATGTCATATCCCAGTTCCGCCTGGTGGACAATACCATTTTCAGACTAAGTATATATTCTATTGCATAAATGTGTAGTTTGAATTTTTATAGCATAAGACCACTTACCCCCATGTCAAAAACATAGCGCGCATCTGAGACCGCCTGGCTGTATGTCTCAGGATCAGTGCAACCGCTGCCCACATGGAAACTGACTCCAATCACGTCCAGCCCGAGCTCCTTCGCCCTCTCCAGCAACAGCCGACTGCTCTTTAACGTGGCGCCAAACTTCACACTTAACCTGCACACCGCCTTGGAGTCGTCGGTGGCGATACGGAGAACCAGTCTGCAGAAACAGAAAATGTGTTTAAATGTCAGGAAAATCTTGTAACAATGCACAATAATTTTTGTTTTATTATAATTTTTAGTGGTCACCAAAATATATAATTGTCAGCCGATAAATTGTTCTGTTTGGCAAGTATCATGAGCAGAAAAATGTTTAACGGTCACAAAAATCTTGCCACAATGCACAAAAAAAATTTTTTTTTACTTTGAAGTGGTCAAACCAAATCAGCTTATATTTGCCATTTTTATTGACATAATAGGTTTACAGAAAGTTTATCTAAAGTAAGTGTTTATTTCACAGATTCAACAGTAATTTTTTTTAACTGATACATGTCCAAATAATAATTAATTTTACTAAATACGTTAAAATAAACAAATATATTTGCAATAACTGCTTGTTTTATTCCCTGTTGCTAATTTATATGGTCTGATATCAAATATAATCCATTTTATATCGGTCATCGGCCACCCAGTTATCAACCATCAAAAAAAAACATACTGGTTGATCACTATTATTTTGTGGTGAAATGTGACCTGTTTTCTAGTAAAGTTACTCACTTGGCATTCTCATGGCTTCGTGCCACCTTCATGAGCTCCACTTCACTGTCAAATGTCATCATCTGCACTCCATGAGCAGAGGCGTATTTGATCTGAGAGACCTGCTTGCAGGGGTTGGCGTAGATGATCCTGCTCGGCTCCACACCCACAGACTGCACGATCTGGATCTCGGTCTAGCAGAAGAGACGAAGATTAGAAGTTGGGTTAATACAGGATTAACGCTGCTACATTCTTGCCGTTTGGTGCTGATGTCATGCACTCCAGCCCTCTACGAACACCTTGGCAATTGAATCGCCATTGGCTAGTAAATTTTTTTGTTTACTCG